TTTCTAATTATTTTTATTAAACTTTTGATTTCTAGTCATGAATTCAAAATGGCTCGAACAATCAGTGATACCTGTGTAAACGATTATGTGAAAATCACCGTTAGAGATAAAGCCCGGGATTCCCTTCGAATATTCAAAATGTACAACACTGGTACTTTTACTGGAGAGATGCGACAAGTGTCATGTGTCGTCTTGCAAAAATACCTGACACGATAACGCCAGTGCCTGTCCATTGTGAGATCGATTTGCCTCGTTGTTTCTTTGATGCATTGATGAAGATGACATATTTCACTGATAAACATGATGAAGACCCACTTCCAGCTCCGAGATACTATGTGATTCCAATGTTATCAAATTCACTCATGACAATCAGAACCAAAACACACTCGTTGAAACAATGTACAACATGGAACGTTTTGCAAGGCTTCATGAGTGCAAATGGCGGCACACGTCTTTTCTATCCAATCGAACATGTACAGGAACGGTTGATCTACACAAAAGTCATTGTTCAAGACATTCCTCCGACGCATGATAATGAAAAGTTTATGTCTTGATAACATACAGGATGTAATCAACTCACATTTCATACTGAAAACTCCGTAAATTCCATTACATTCCAAGTGGCAGTTTCTGGCTCGGGAAAACGAGAAGGCTGTGGCGAAGAAGAGTAGTCCCCCATTGATAGTGAACGTAACCTCAGCAATGTCACATTCAAGCACACTGGGTGCACCTAATTACACACACGCAAAAGTTTTGGCTCCAGTCGATGGAAGAACATTGAACGTAAACTAGTATACACAAGTACAGATCCCCAATGTGCAGAGATTTTCAAAACAATCTTTCGATGACGACAACCACCAAGCGATAACGATGACGTCACACGCTCAAATATTTTACGCTTGCAAGAATTAAAATCATCCACATTTGCATGGTAACATCATCGTTTTAGAGGGTTTAATTAATTTTCTGTGATCCTATCTAGTTATCAATATCACTATTGCCTTGATGTTGCGAAGAGGTGGCAGAAACTTTTTTGTGGAGGGTCACCATGGGGATGAGTAGTGATTAGGAAACCAAGTGACGTCACTCATTCATAAACGTTGTGTTGTGTATAACTGCGCACCTACGACGAGAAAAAATGAAATTTGAATGTATTCGACCATAAAATGGTGCGATTTTATGGTGTGTAAGAAACAGATTAGTGTACTCGTGTCTGTCAGATACCATTTATCTTACAACTCGTTGTTTCAAAACGTATTTAACTCGCTTTCGCTCGTTAAATACGTTTTGAAACAACTCGTTGTAAGATAAATGGTATCTGACAGACACTCGTTTAGTAATCTCTATGGGTCTTTTTCCGACGTCACGGGGAGGCGGTGACGTCATGGTGGTGGTGGTGAGTCTTTTTCCGACGTCACAGGGCGGTCAACGCATGACCGCCCCCGTGACGTCATGGTGTTGGGCCAGCGCTTCCTCGAGGGCATATTACGTCACCTCGGAAAAGCGCTGGCCCCTTACTACTCAGTTGCAATAAATATAGAGGGTGTCAAGCTATTATAGAAAGATCTGTAGATTTCTAGACCCGTCTGCCAAATGGCAAAACCTGATATACTTGCAAAATAATGAAAATGCGAGGGAAAACTTACCATTACTCTTGCGCCACATGTTCTTCTTTCACTGTCCAGCGAGGAAATGGATTTGCTTTTGGGGCAACTCCACATTTCGCGTGGACAGCGCTTCCACCCTGTGGTGTGGTAAACCGTAACATATTGATGAAAAAGTGTGTGTTGCCATACATTTTTTCACATGTGTAAATATGTGGACCCACATGGTGCACGTGCAATATATATATATATATATATTCTGTGTATCATTGCACAAGTTTATTTATATAAATATCTAAACAGCAGCATGCGTAATGAGTTTACGCCAGACCCTCTGATGCTTATATAGTGCTTTTATACAGATTAGTGACACTGACACACTTGCAGTTTTATTTACGTTCTTGGAAGAGTGAGTGAGTTGAGTTTTACTCCGCACTCAGCAATATTCCAGCTATATGGTGGACGTTCTTGGAAGAAGGAAATATACATCTACATTTTATTTAAACATACATTTTCATCTTTATGTGCTTATAGCGCAAGAAAATTAAACAAACAAACCAAAAACGCATTACAATGTACCATTGCATACACATTTCTATTACATAACACACTTTCTCTACTTTTTGACTATTTGCGTGGCTTAATATGCCATGATTTGTCATTTCTTCTGGACATCGCCGGGCCAGTTTCATTACACTAACTAATTGGCTAAAAGAAAAGGTTATGTAGTCAAGAGAGACACATTAATCCAATAAAACCAGTGAGGCATGAAGTCCCACATAGCCTAATGAACTGTACCTACCTAACTGAATAATTTTAGGCCTCGTGGGACGATACCATTTCATTGGCCTCCAGAAAGCAAGAGATCTTATTGCTGTCCGTATTCAATATAACTCACGGTCCTTCTGGTATCGGTATCTTCATCTGCCACTACCAGGACTGTTGAATTCCCTCCAGCTTTTGTACCATGGCGTTGACATCAACAAGAAAGGATCTCCCTAAGGTATGTCATTCTTCAAATTATTTCAAAATTGAACTGCTGTTGTGTGATGCATTATTGAAGAATACGTGGCAGTACAGATATCATATCATTGCTTATGTCTGGAAATGTGTGGTATTTTTGATACAAATTATAAGCATTGTCTACTTAGTAATTAGGTTTGCATAAACATTGCACGTCAATAATACAATTTACCAACACAGTAATATAAATGTTTTTGTTTCTAATTGGTATAGAAACAACCAACGCAGAATATAGCCTTCTTTCATTTCTCCGAAGTAATCGAAATGAAAAGCAAATATGGCATGTACAAGGGAACGCAAGTGATTCTAAAATCAAAACCAATCACCTTCACGGCGTCAGGATGACAATGGACTTTGGAGACATTACGCCAGGGTTCCACATGGCAACAGACGCAGTTATTACAGAAGATGGAGTCGTCAGACTTCAAAACCACTCGAAGGTAAATAATAGACTTTTCTTGGTAAGAATGGGGAAGCGAATATACAATACTTGTACATGTTAAATGATTCTTTGAATAAATATTAAATTAAAAATCTCCTTAAATTCACTTCTTGATGTGATATTATTTCAGTTGCAATTTTGTTCTTAATTCTTCATCATATTTCACTAACAAACCACGTGAACAACTTTTTATGCAAATTGAATACATGTACATTGTATAATCTCACCATTTAAACTGCCATACTCATTTCCATCATATCCTATATGCAGTCCACAATATATAAAGCCAATTTACTTTTTACTATAAACAATATTTCATTTGGGTATGTAATATACTCATGTTTGATGATTTCTCTATATTTGCTTAATTACAGATACTGTCATGCAGACCATTCGCATACGATGAAGAGGTAGTTGGGGCATTTTAAACCCTCCAGTGAAAACTGTCAAAGAAGCCCTGGCCACGCCCTTAGGAGCCAAAGTCACAGTGTTGGGAATAGTTGAGCAAGTTAGTATCATTTGGGAATCACATAATTCTAATCAATTCGACGTTAATTGATAATTATGTCTCAAAACAGTACTAGATTTAACATAAAAAAATAAACAAAACAAGAAAATATTTTCTTTTACAAAACAAACTTCATATATCAGTTCACTTTTCGTGTCATTTAACTAGTGAATTCGTTTCTGTCAAGGTGTCACAAGCATTTGAAGCTGAACACAAGACCGTCACACTTACGCATGCAATATATTGACAGAGTAATCTGAAACGAGTTGTGTTGCCAACGAGAAAGATGATTTTGTGTTCTATTATGAACGGATAGCTTGTTCAAATACATCAAGATTTTATGCTGGAGGATTTCTCTCACGTATTCTGAGACTTAATAATGTCCTAAACGTGCGCTATAGGATTGAGATTCTGGCAGGCGAAGGTAGATAGCTGCCTGGCGACATAAATAATATAATATATCAAAGAGAAAATTGTTTTGTGTCACAGGCTAGGCAACACATACATTAGATTGGTAAAATACACATTGTAAATACACATCAACACAATTTTCACAGCATCGTTAAGATAAATACTCGCATGTTTGTACCAAGTAGAGGACAAGTATCACCTTATAATGATACTAACAAAAAAAACCATTTATAAATGAGACTTCTAATTTAAGAACTACAAGGGATGAAAGCCCCAACTGATCTGCATATTTTGCTAGCTGAAAGGACATTTTTTCTTAATTTGTTTTATACCGATATATCGGTATATTGTCTCTGTTTTTGTTTACCATAGACAGACCTGCATACCAGACCCGTGAAGATCCGGGTTAGAACATTGGTCTTCAGTAACCCATGCTGGTCGTAAGAGACGACTAATGGGATCGGGTGGTCAGGCTCGCTGACTTGACACATGTCATCGTATACAATTTGCGTAGATCGATGCTCATGCTTTTAAACACTGGTTGTCTGGTCCAGGTTAGATTATTTACAGACCATAATAGTTGGAATACTGCTGAGTGCGGCGTTAAACAACAACCAACATGCATACCAAGCATGGAGGACAAAACACATTGAATGAAGCAGTCGTAAAATATGGATGAAATGTTAACGCAGACATTAAAAGAACGAAGTTAGTGTAAAAAAAGTCTTTGATGACATTTGGCATAAATGCACTGAGTGTTTTGATTTCCATGTAAGTTTATAGTTTACATGACACTTCCGAGATATTTGTACTCATCAACCATATCTACAGGTTCATTATCAATATAGGAATTATGATATGTGAAAATGAGAGCCAAGGGAGCTGTTGATCATGGCTTTTGGAAACGAGGTGAGAAATATTTTCAAAAATGAGTTTTTTAAATAGTTTTTATGACAATGCTCTTGAATTTCAGTTTGCACCTTGGTCACACTTCCGGGTCCACAAGAAAATACTTTGCGCATGTGCATAAAAGCGGAAGTAGAGTGCGAGAAGACCAGACAAAATGACGACGCCGGTGGTGGATAGCGTCCGCGAAAAGGCTCTAGCAGACTATCGTAAAAAGCTGCTAGAGCACAAAGAGTTAGAAGCAAGGCTAAAAGAAAGTTAGTATTCCGCCTGCAGCTATAATGTTGAAATATTTTCTTCAAAATATATGTATAAGGTACCAAAATAACAATGATGTGCAGCTGAACGGCCATTTTGTTCAAACATGCTGAATCACATTTGTTGAGTTCCCATTATATCTTCAGTTCAAGCGTTTGTTATAGCTTTAGGCAATTTTGTGGAAGGGTGTTCAGGATAATATTAAGTAAACAGTGTGATTGGAAAATGTATGTTCAAGGTTTGATTTTGGTATTTGTGTAATACCAGGGGGTAGACATTCAGTGTCACCTGTTTTCGTGTCACTGACAGTCATTGGGCATTTTCAAGTCACGAGTGTTAGATCGTTTTAATTTTCTTTTATTATAATTCAGGTTTTCAGCAGGAAATACGGTCTACTTTAAAGAAAAGCATACTAATAATTGAATGCTCAGGCAAATTTTCCATTGTAAATAGAGAAAATTCTAGAGAAATAGACATACATTCACAGTTTCACTTTCTATTTTAGAACCAGTTGTAGGAGAAACTTCATTAACCAACTTCATAATTACAGTTGCATGCTTGTGCTACCTTCTTGTGAAGTGGGGAAAGTTGATACTGATATCTTATTCTTACTCTGTGAAAATTGTAAATCGGGTTTTAATGCAGATTTAGAGGCACTACGACTTTATCTATTACACGAGGTAGGGATTGTGTTGTAAGCTAATGTCTGTTTAGGAAATTCTGGCTCGATATGACATGTTTACTCTCTGCCACAGATGATGGCAGCTTGTTAACATGTCATGATTTGGACTGGTAATAGTATTACCTAGTGGTGGTCCGATTAATTGAAATAATCGAAGATTGGTCGCAATGACTAAACGACCAAGCAATCGATCATGTTTTCTCTTAATCGAACACAAACAATTTAGGAAGTTATACAACACTTGTTTGCAATAACAATATATTTCACAAGGTTGGTTTTGTCTGTTACATTTCATAAGCGCTAAAAGCTCGTTCCTAGTCGTGATAGGAAATTAATGTTCCTAACAGACTAGTCATCCTTTAAGGATGTGAAAGTTGCAAATGCATTTTGTGCAATTTACGAAAAAATACATGTTTTTTCTTCTTGTTTTTGTGCATTAACAAACACAAGGAGGAAAATTTGATAAATGACACTAACCAATTATTTTCGATGATTGATCAGTTGTATGAACCAATCATCAATTATGAGATTTTAACCAGTTCCCAACACTAGTATTACTTCATTTGATAGAAGATTAGTGACTTGTGTATATAACACTTATTCTGAAATTTAAGAAATTACAGTTTATTGTAATTGTATTTCTAAGATTTTTGCATCACTGTAAAAGGTGGCAAAATTGCTTTTTCAGCCAATGGAAAAGAAATTCAGTTGATTCCTATTTATAGTGAATAGTGATAACAACATTGGATATAGGATTTAAAAAATGTTAAAAGCATGCGCTCACATGCAGCTCTTGAGCTATACTTAGTTCATTTTCTGTAATATGTATCATATATATTATTTTGTTTGTTGCCAGTGCGGGAAAACTTGAAAGAACTCACCAAGCAGTATGAGAAATCTGAAAATGACTTGAAAGCCCTGCAAAGTGTAGGACAGGTAAGACAATCGCCTAGATTGTTCTTGGATGTTTAATGAAATATGCACCTGTTAAATTGAAGCACTGTTGTATTTGAAACTTATATTACTGGAGTGCTGTATTCTGTTATGAGTTATAGTGAAGAAAGAACATGTTTACATAAAAAATGCTCAAATTTGTAAATCTTCATTACTTGGTACTTTCTGTCTGGTATCTTCACCTGTTCAGTGGCAGATATTTGCCCTCAAATCTACAACAAATGACAGTAATGATTTCCCAATTTGAATTAACAATTTCCTAATTTATACATAAAAGGCCTTTCTAGAAAAATATGATTTGAGCAAATTAAATTTTTTTCCAATATCTTTGGAATCTTCATCAAATGTTTGTATTGTTAAAGTGGAGAAACGGTTTTCTAAACTGATTATGTGTTTTGCAGATTGTTGGAGAAGTACTGAAACAACTGACTGAAGAAAAATGTGAGTTTGTATTCCATGCTATAAGCTGGGTACTCTTTAAATGCATCCTGTGAAAATCTCAGACTTGGTCTTCCGCAACCCACTCTTGTCATCTTTATAGGTGTCTGACAGTATTGGGTCTCCAGGGTCTCTGGGATGGTTTACGGATATCATCATATCTGAGTCACAGATTGATGCCTATAATGTTAATAACTGGGTTGTCTGGGCCAGGCCTGGTCAGTATCAGATCGCTGGAATATTGCAGCATTTTGTGAAAAACAAAACAAAACTCTTGAAATGCCGTTAGCTGCCATTATGATAACACATAAATCTTTAGTTGTACATATATCTTACAAATATGTATTGTAAGGATAGATTTGGCTGAAATATTGCTGATGTGACTTTAAATAGTTACTCACTCTGTCTTTTTTATTTTTCAGTTATTGTAAAAGCAACAAATGGCCCCAGATATGTTGTAGGATGCAGGCGACAGTTGGATAAGGCAAAGCTGAAGCCTGGAACAAGGGTGGCTCTAGACATGACCACTCTCACAATAATGAGGTGAACTTGCTTATAACTGCTGCTCAGCTTTTATTACTTATGATAATAGTTATGAGTTGTGTTTCCTGCTCCATACAGATATGATGTGGATGAATGTTGTATTTTTGTATTTTCTTCTATTGGTCGTGTAGCTTTTAGAAAAGTAAATCAACATCTGTTATGTTTAAGAGACAAAATGTGTTCTGTAAAACATGCAATGCTCAAGTACAGTGGTAACGCCACCAGTATCAATCAACACTGGCATATCTGTTGTTAGACCTCATCCAGAATTCAAGTTGTATTTTCATGGATTGAGTAAGTTTCACTTAGTTTTGTATTGCTTCAGACAAATATGGTGATACATATCGTATTGGCACCCATGTATCTTGCTGTTGATCATCTTGCACATCATTTACCATTATTTTCGGTTATATCATGTCACCAGAAAATATGAATATCAGGATATTACATCTCATCACAAAGGCCACAATACACAGCTCTAGACTAATCATGACTGGAGGGATAGCATATCCATTCTTTTGCCCAATGATGTGAACTGACAAGTTGAGGCAGGGACAGTAAGGTGTCTTTATCTTTCTCTTATCTGTCTTCTTATTTCTCTTGTGTCCATCCTTTTGTCTGGCTGTCCCCCACTGTCCTGTCACTCTGCTTTCCCTCCATCTCTCATTCCCTTCTTGTGTATACCCTTCCACACCTTGCTGTTGGCCATTGAAACTGATTATGAGAGCTGAGGGCTCCTGATAAAGTTGAATAGCAAGCAAACATTTCTTCAAAGGGGATAAATTGAAAAACTTGACAGTGATAGACTTGTTTTGTCTGTGAATATCTGTTTCTAACTCATCCAGGGCCGGTGGGGTAGCCTAGTGGTTAAAGCGTTGGCTCGTCACACTGAAGACCCGGGTTCGAATCCCCACGTGGGTACAATGTGTGAAGCCCATTTCTGGTGTCCCCTGTCGTGAAGTTGCTGGAATATTGCTAAAAGCGGCGTAAAACCAAACTCATTCAGTCAGTCAGTCTAACTTATCCAGATCACTTTCATGACATAATTTGACTTCAAGTTGGAGTTATAATTTCCATTGATATAGAATTGAATTTTCTTTCACATGCTTCAATGACACATTTCATTTTTGAACCATGATTTATTGTGTTGATGTACATCTGCAACTTGTTACAGTGGTAGCCATTTAACTATATTTGCACATTGTTACAGGTATTTGCCACGAGAGGTGGACCCCATGGTGTATAACATGTCAGTTGAAGATCCTGGTGCAGTGGGATACAATGAGATTGGAGGTCTAGGGGAACAGATCCGGGAACTTAGGGAGGTCAGTGTTTCATGGCGTCAACATTGGATCATGTGTACATTTGGTTTGATCATCCTAATTGGGGTGGTCTCATGAAGAGTTTTCGATAATAGAGTTTTATGTAAAACTACAGGTAAATGATCTACTCAGAAGATCATGTCGTTTCCATCTGTTGCCAGACATTAATCATTATTTACTAGGGGTGTCGCGATAACGCGAATGTATCGATGCATCGATACATTTTTACTGACGATACGATACGCGATACATGCTTGCGTGTATCGATTCCTATTTTAAAACTTTATCGATTCAAATTTTTATGCTATATCCATCTCCGTCAAAGTCTTGATAGTAAAATTATACCAGACCGCTATGATAAATAGATGTAGCTAGCTTTACTTAAAAAAATAGGTTGGAAACTAACAGCTTTTGTGATTGGCTACACTATTTTGATGGACCAATCAGCGAGCGCGTACGTTGCCGGTAAGGTAATGCTATGAAAAGGCGCGATAATTATGTATCGCGATACGTATCATATCGTGACCTTAAAATCGTGATACGTATCGTATCGTGAGATTGGTGTATCGTGACACCCCTATTATTTACATTTGGGTTCTTATTCATGTCCTCATCACATGCATTGCCAGAATGTAATTACTTTATTTTTCCTTGCCTCTGTGTAAAGGTAAATGTTCCTCGACCTATTTCAGGTGATTGAGTTGCCTCTTCTGAACCCTGAGCTGTTTATGAGAGTTGGCATCACCCCACCCAAAGGCTGCCTGTTGTATGGGCCCCCCAGGCACCGGCAAAACACTTTTGGCCAGAGCTGTAGCTAGTCAGTTGGACTGCAACTTTCTCAAGGTAAAGCACATGGACAATAGATATGATCTTGTATTTCTTGTATGTTGAGATGTTTGTAGAAAGGGGACGAGTCTAGTTGTTAATGCTTTGTGAAGCCCTTGTATTGAGCTCATTTCTGGTATACCCTCCTGCCATGATGAAGACTACTGGTGTTTAAAATTTTGGTTCCACTTTGAATGAACCGTTGTATATACTGGCCTCTGAGCATGATCAATCTTACATTGCTCATAGAGTACTGTATTACACCGTTGATGTATTTCAAGTGGCCTGTCATCCTTCTTTTGGGGCGGTAGGGTAGCCTAGTGGTTAAAGCGTTGGCTCGTCACGCTGAAGACCCGGGTTCGAATCCCCACATGGGTACATTGCGTGAAGCCCATTTCTGATGTCCCCTGCCGTGATGTTGCTGGAATATTGCTAAAAGCGGCGTAAAACTAAACTCAGTCAGTCATCCTTCTTTTACGCCTGACCCCAACAATTTAAGGCTTTGACACTGCTGTACCCTCAAAATATATATCCCTCATAATTTGTGTTTCAGGTGGTGTCTAGTGCTATTGTGGACAAGTACATTGGAGAGAGTGCCCGACTCATCAGAGAAATGTTTGCCTATGCAAGGGATCATGAGCCATGTATCATCTTCATGGATGAAATTGATGCCATTGGTAAGACTTTATCTGAAACCTCTCGTCAAGCTCATGTTCAAAGGTGGCTGTTGGCGAGACTTGGAAACACCAGGTTATCACCTGGCTGATTGTGTCTCTTGTCCAATGCCCCGCCGTGATGTTGCTGGAATATTGCTAAAAGCGGCGTAAAACCAAACTCAAGTCAGTCTTGTCCAATGCATGGAAAGCTGTTAAAAGTTTCAGTTACCAGTTTTCCCAGTCCAGCTTTTAATCATTAGTTCTATTGTTTGGTACAAAACAGTCTATGAATATTTTTCTATGACCCACGTGCTAATGTCGGTTGGACTAAATTGAATTAATATTGTTAGCATAACTCAGTACCTACATTTGGCATAAACAGTTGCCAAGCAGCACGTTTGTAGTGTTGTGATGTAGAACATGCACATATTTTTTGGTCAAAGTTCAAGCATAAAGAACTTCTGTCTCTGTAGTAAATAGAACTTTAAAATGGCTCTTGATTCTGAACTAAAAGCAGGTCAAATACATGTAACAGATCAGAAACTGTATTGACAGCTATCTTCTTTGACCCTTTCCTGTTTAGGTGGAAGAAGATTCTCAGAAGGCACATCAGCCGACAGAGAGATCCAGCGGACCTTGATGGAGGTAAGTTTTGTGCTCGGCTACTTATTGTAATGGAGACCGCAGTGGAATAAGTGAGTCGCCCAATGATGTGAACTGACAAGTTGAGGCAGGGTCAGCAAGGTGTCTGTTATCTTTCTCTCGTCTATCTTCTTCCTCCTACTTCCTTTCCATTCTTTTGTCTGTCTGTCCCCCACTGTCCTGTCTCTCTGCTTTCCCTCCATCTCTCATTCCCTTCTTTTGTATACCCCTCCGCACCTTGCTGTTGGCCATTGAAACTGATTATGAGAGCTGAGGGCACTCAGTGAGCTGAAAAGTAATCTGTGAGAATAGTTTCTATTATCAGATTAAGATTGTGTGGGATGAAGAATTAGAGGGGGTCAAGATTATTATCTTTTTTGTTTGTAGGGTCTTTTATCCCCCCGGCATGTAATGCAGGGGGTTATAGTCGAAGCCTCATCCGTCCGTAATCATTTTATTTTCAGAGCATAACTCAAAAGCCGTTAAATAGTTTTCAACAAAACTTGGTAGATATATCAAACAGATCCTTAAGTGGCGCCTTCTGCTATTTGCAGATTTTTGGCATTTTTATTTTCCCCGGTTTCCTGCGAAACGATTCAGACTTAGTCCTAATAGGGAGGGGTGGGCTTCGTTTCCGGAGCATAACTCAAGAACCGTTCAATATTTTTCAAGTTGTGCCTTTTGCTATTTGCATATTTTTTTGCATTCTTATTATAATTATTTTTGGTTTCCATGGAAACGATTCAGACTTAGTCCCAAAAGGGAGGGGTGGGTTTCATTTCCGGTGCACAACTCGAAAACTTCTTAATATCTTTCAGCAAAACATGGTAGATATGAGTCAGATCTTGAATTTGTGTCTTTTGCTATTTACACATTTTTGTCATATTTTTCTTGGTTTCCATGGAAACGTTTTGAACTTAGTCTCAAAAGGGAGGGGTGGGCTTCGTTTCCAGAGCACAACTCGAAAACCGTTCAATATCTTTCAACAGAACTTGGCAGATATGAGACAGGTCTTGAAGTGGTGCCTTATGCTATTTACAAATTTTTGTCATTTTTGTTTTTCCCAGTTTCCATGGAAACGATTCAGACTTAGTCTCAAAAGGGAGGGATGGGCTTCGTTTCCGGAGCACAACTCAAAAACCGTTTAATATCTTTCAACAGAACTTTGCAGATTTATGAGTCAGATCTTGAAGTGGTGCCTCTTGCTATTTTCACATTTTTTGCATTTATATTTTTCATGATTTCCATGGAAATGATTTGGACTTAGTCTACAAAAACATCAAGCTGGACTTTAAGTTACTGTCAGATGATTTGTTCTTTCAAATTTTATTGGAGCCGGGGGGGATATGTCATCTTCTGACGACTCTTGTTTTTTAATGCAGTTTAGTGTAACTATAGCTATCCCATTTCCACTTGTTACACAGCTGCTGAACCAGATGGATGGGTTTGATGCCCTGGGCCAGGTGAAGATCATCATGGCCACCAACAGACCAGACACCCTTGATCCTGCACTCCTCAGACCAGGCAGACTCGACAGGAAAATAGGTACACTTATGTTGCAGTTAAAGCTGTCTAACAAAATAAGAGTTATCATGCAAATGAGCATGAGTACTGTGACAGTAATTGATTATGAAAGTAAGGAAAGTGAGATGGTTTATACCACCCAGTGATTTTCCTGGAACACTTTTGTTATATTAAAGGTTAACAATAGTCTGTTCTGATACAAATTGTTTTGTGTAGTAAATTGTGTTGAAGGCTAGCTCATGGTTTGGAATTAATTCATATGCAAACTGTGGTTAAAAAGTAGCATTGTATTTAAAACATTAAGCTTAAGGAATTAGGATGGTCTGTGTATAATTTTTCTATATATTCTTATTTCAGAAATTCCTTTACCAAATGAACAAGCTCGACTTGAGATTCTTAAGATCCATGCATCTCCAATTGCCAAACATGGAGAAATAGATTGGGAAGCCATAGTCAAACTCTCAGAAGACTTCAATGGAGCTGATCTGAGAAATGTCTGTACAGAAGCAGGTATGTACTAAGTTGTCTCCCTTAGGCCTTGTGTTGTGTTTGTGGAGGGTGGTCAGAGGGTTAATTTGCAATGGCTGAATTGATTTTCTCATGTTCCTTTAGGAAGCAAACAATGTCACCAGTTTGGGCATGGATCAGCATAATTTTCTGCCAGTTAATACTTATTACAGAAACAATGTTTTTGAATTTGTTGTCTCAACTATTGACAATCTAATATGCACTAAATATGGCTGATATATATTCTGTTGTCTCTGTGCAGGTATGTTTGCAATTCGTGCTGAGCGTGACTATGTGATCGAGGAGGACTTCATGAAGGCTGCCAGAAAGGTGTCGGACAACAAAAAACTCGAGTCCAAACTGGACTACAAGCCAGTGTAATGTTATCATGATGTTCAATCTTTGTCCGATATTTCATGTATGCTTTCATTGTAAATAAAAAATGTCATTATAGAAACTATTACTCTGGCTAAGTTATTGCTTGTTTCACTGTCTCTACTGGTAAGACTATGGCAATTCTTGTGTACCACATTTTTCAGATTGACATGTTTGCTTGCTCCAACACTGGTAATCTATAACATTAAAAACAGACTTATTCTTTCTTAGGATATTGGTAGTTAATCAGTCATGCCATGATTGATTCAGTGCTACTTGGAGGGCACCAAGACTATTGTAAGGTTCATATTTTTGGGGTGCCATGTGAAGATTTTGTTTACAATTAACCAGCATTGTCACATCTTACCAGTCCATATGCAAAAGGTTTTGGTGCAGCATGGCCCGTTCTAGGATTTATTTTACCCATTTACACTTCATATTGGACGTGCTGCAGCCACTTAAGTACTTTGTAAGTAGTAGTTTTGTTTCATATTCCACTGTTCTGCTATGATGATACTGTTTTGTAGAAAGTTAGAGTTGCTTTTATCCACTGTTCTTGCAATGATGAACTGTTTTCCGACAAGTCTGTAAGAAAGACCGCTATTTTTCTTTTGCTATTCACAGATTTTTGGCATTTTATTTTCCGGTTTCCATGGAAGCGATTCGGACTTAGTCCCAAAGTGAGGGTGGGCTTACGTTTCCGAGCATAACTCAAGAACCGTTCAATATTTTTCAACAAGACTTGGTAGATATATCAAACAGAACCTTAAGTGGTGCCTTTTGCTATTTGCAGAATTTTGGTATTTTTATTTTCCTGGTTTCCATGGAAACGATTCTGACTTAATCCCAAAAGTGAGGGGTGGGCTTCGTTTCGGAGCATAACTCAAGAACCGTTCAATATTTTTCAACAAGACTTGGTAGATATATCAAACAGAACCTTAAGTGGTGCCTTTTGCTATTTGCAGATTTTTGGTATTTTTATTTTTCCCGGTTTCCATGGAAACGATTCGGACTTAATCCCAAAAGTGAGGGGTGGGCTTCGTGTCCGGAGCACAACTCAAAAACCTCTCTATATCTTTCAGCAAAACTTGGCAGATATGTGAGGCAGATCTTGAAGTGGTGCCTTTTGCTATTTGCAGATATTTGTGATTTATTATTTTCTCAGTTTCCATGGAAATGATTCGAACTTAGTCTCAACAAGAAGACAAAGTCATCAATATCCCCCGCAATGGCAAAATACTCTTCATGATTATGTCTACGAGTTATGATTATGTCAAATATTAAAAAAAAGGTTTTTAAAATTCTGCTCCAGAAAGGAGCGCTATCACCAATTTCAGTCTATGTCAAACTTGTTGTGCCAAGTTCGGTGAAGAATTAGAGAACGGTTTTAGAGTTCTGCTCTGGAAAAGAGCACTACCACCAATTTCAGGCTAAGTCAAACTTGTCGCCATGGAAAGGCCAAAAATATTTTATTCAGAATTCCAAAACTACCAAAAGGCACCAGTACACCACCAGACCAATCTATGTGCCAAGTTCGGTGAAGAAATAGTTAACGGTTTTAGACTTCAGCTCTGGAAAAGAGCACAACCATCAATTTCAGGCTAAGTCAAACTTGTTGCCATGGAAATGCCAAAAGTATTTTATTCAGAATTCCCAAACTACCAAAAGGCACCAGTACACCACCAGACCAATCTATGTGCCAAGTTTGGTGAAAAAACATGGAAGGGTTTTAGAGTTCTGCTCTGGAAAAGAGCACTACCACCAATTTCAGGCTATGTCAAACTTGTTGCCATGGAAATGCCAAAAATATTTTATTCAGAATTCCAAACCTACCAAAAGGCACCAGTTCACCACCAGACCAATCTATGTGCCAAGTTTGGTGAAGAAACATTGAAGGGTTCTGGAGTTATGCTCCGGAAAAGACAAATGTGCACGCACGCACGCACGCACGGACGGAGTCCATTTAATACCCCCCGCAAAACGCTTTGCGGGGGATAAAAAGGAACGGATGGGTTTCGTTTCCGGAACACAACTGGAAAACTCCTTAACATCTTTCAGCAAAACTTGGCAGATATGTGAGGCAGATCCCAAAGTGGTGCCTTTTGCTATTTGCAGATATTTGTGATTATTGTACTCATGGGTTTGTCAGTAGTGGGTGTTTTTGCATGTAGGATGTCATTGAGTGCTAACTTGAATGCATGAGGCGAATGACAGGGACTGACTTTGAAGAATGGGCCAGTGTTCAGATTAACGTTTTCATTCTTTAACTGTACACTGCTCAATTGTTTCACAAGGTCTTACATATGCAAATTCCATCAAGTCTTTTCTGAACATTTGAAAATGGGGACAAATACATATACAGATCCCTTGTGATGGTAACTGACCATACACATACAGTTGGGGAAGTTGTCCACGAGACCGATAATAATTTGAAGTAAGAAATTACCATGAAGTACCGGTATATTCCAAGACTCCACGTATCAAATGATGACTCAAACGCAAGACATAGTTGATTTAAGTGCATTTTAATCAGACTGAATCATTTCATTGGATAGAATCTCTTTTTAAATAATTCTGTACAATTTGATTGCTTTCATCTTTCATAGTATTTGCCATTTACAGGAAGTTTGGACGGTAATATCCAAGGCGAATTGCATAGACATTTTAATGTGTTAGAATTTCTGTACAAAATTGTGATACATATAGTACATCACATTACAAAACACACATTCTTTATAATATCAGTTAAGTAATCCAATATGTTGGATGTGACAAGAATCAACACGATATGGGTTGAAGTGTACATATATTCAAGCTTCTCATTTATTGTACAACAATGTGTGTTATCTGTATATTGTTCAAGTAATCTGGTGATCTGTTATGTTCTACAAAATATCACCACTGTTTATAACAAAATGTCTGGGAACTTTGTGCATTTATCACATCCCATGAACCCTTGTCCAAAATGGCCGCTCCCTGAGGCTTCATCCATGTTGCATACTGAACAAGTCTGTTCCATCTTCACAGCTACACACATACATAGGATAGTTCTAGCACTCTCGGTCAGACTAGCTGGTGCAAGCTAGACTCTACTCTTAAATATATAGCAAAATAATCTTGTCAGGGTCCTTTATTGCACAAACTGTAGCCTGTCTAGACTACCACCCACATGGAATGCTGCAGCATGTTCAACTCGGCAACACCCGCACATCTTGCACTACCCTAATCATTTTGTTGGCATCACCCGAGCATACATCTGAAATGACAAGCATTTACAAATTTGACAAAAGAATTATGATCAAGGAATAAATAACTTCATCTCCAGAAATCATTAACCACACGTTTCATACATAAAGACAACTAAAACAAGGATATTTACTGGTCTATTTTGGGTTAAACTCCACAAAATATTGCTATGATGCCATGACCTTGGGTATGTGTCACAAGAGCAGAGATTCCAAATCCCAAAAGGATGGAGGACTGAGAGGTCCAAAGTTAAAATTGTGATAATGGAAAAATTGTCTTGAGAAAAAGAGCACTGGATTTACTTTATGAAATTTTTGAAGTTTTGGTTCAGGGTATGCATGCTACTCACCCCAAGTAGGTTTCTTGGGACATATCCTTCTTTGTCATTTCGACGAGCCCACCACCATTCCTTCTCACGCTCATCGCCCTTCCGTAGGATGGTGATCTTGTCACCAATCTTAAAGCTTAGCTCATCCGAGTTGGATGAGTCATAGTCGAAAACTGCATATACTTCCCCATTATTCATGATGCCGAGCTTCTCTTGGATGCCTGGAAAATATAAAAATACAATTAAATGTGACATTTCTTTAAGATCAAGGTAAAGAATAAAACCAGCTTAAGTCTAGGCTAGTACAAGCAGCCACACATACATACGCATGCACGTCGTCATATAAGCGAGATATTCTTAAGTATAACGTTAAACCCCATTTCACATCACATCACATCATGACATACTGACGATTCATTTTGACCTGGGACACTACTTGACCAAAACTGTGACGGGGTAATATTTGCAATCATCTGTAGTGATTCCTGGACTGACTGTGTAACATGTCTTGTGAAACAAACTCACTGTAGAGGTAATCTGAGCAACCGTCATAGCCATCTTCATCTTCTTCACACTTCTCCGCGGCTGTCTCGTGGTCGCTGATTGTTGTGGCAAATATACATGCTCCGTGTTCAACGAGGAACTTGACCATTGGGAGATTGTTACAGGACGCTGCACAGTGTAGAGGTGTCCTGCAAATCAGTCAAAATCATAGCTAGTAGTGGGTGAGTTTAGTTTTACGCTGCACTCAGCAATATTCCAGCTATATGGCGGTGGTCTGTAAATAATCGAGTCTGGACCATACAATCCAGTGGTCAACAGCATGAGCATTGATCTGTGCAATTGGGAACCGATGACATGTGTCAACCAAGTCAGCAAGCCTGACCACCCGATCCCGTTAGTCGCCTCTTACGACAAGCAGTCGCCTTTTGTGGCAAGCATTGGTTGCTGAAGACCTATTTTACCCCGGATCTTCAAGGTTCTCATAGCTAGTACTTCAATTAGCTTTAGTTCTTGGACACCACATACGAAAAAACACACACATGATGACCTGCAGTATTTTTACCTGTCCACTTAAACTCTTTTAAATTGAAGGTGAGACAGTGAGTAATGGTAAGGTTTAAAGAAGTTCTCTTATATCACAGCATAAGATACAGTGTATAACTGACACTAAAGATTTAAACTGTATCATGTAATATGTATGGGTGACAATTGAGGGGAAACAACTATTGTAATGGTGATAGTCTATTGCAACATACTATTGCCATAGCGACCAACTATTGCAATAGTTTTTTCTCCTTGAATTGTCTCATTTGAAGTCATTTCCAAATGAATTTACAGTTAATATGAAATAAAAAGAAGTTGAAGTAGTTTCAGTCTCTTTTAATAACTGACAAGAAACTTGAAATCCAGATCAAGTAAACAGTTAAAACATACACTCAATGAAGCTGCAAGTCGGCACCCAAACATCCTGCATTTTGTGCTGCGCATTTATCAACAGAAATCAATTACTAAACTATCGATAGTCACATCAATTTCACATTGTTCTACCATCAATTACTTGCTATCGGAGACTCAACAATTGCAATCCATTGATAGCTCGATGCATCGTTAAAGCCCTAGTAATATGTACAGTTGTGATGCATGATATTATCACATGTAGGAACACACAATTTACGCTGATAGATATCTCATAAAGCTTGTGTCCTGCTATTAACTTGCGTTCGATGCAAGGCTGTTGGAAAGGAATGCTACTTACCATCCATCACTATCTGGTGAATTGACGTCACATCCGAACTCTACGAGGAAAACAACAATCTCGTAGTGTCCGGCACAGATGGCATTGTGGAGAGCAGTGATCCCTTCATCATTGGGAGCACTGACATCAGTAACCTGGCAACACAAAGAATGTATAAAAGATATAAGCTTAAAACATGACATTTTGTGTGTGATATATTTTGAGGACAGTGCAGCGACTAACAAGATCTGAATTCATTCATGTAAACCACCAACTCATGGTAACAACGTTTCAACAATGAAATTTTAACTCTACAGATCATTATTATATTGTTATGATTATTATTATATCAAGAAAAATGGAGCATGACCTCAAAGAGCACAGGTTATAACAAATGTTATATTTGGGATTACACTTTCTTAGTTAAGTACAGATTCCACGGAAGCAGCATGTAGCTGAGCAGGTTAGGCGTCTGACTTTGTGTGCTGGCGATTAGACGCCTGATTCTGAAGGTGTGGGTTTGAATCCCGGATGGGACTCAACCCAGTAAAAGTACTAGAATCTGTACTTTACTACGAAAGTGTAATCCCAAATATAATATGACCACTATCTAAATGGCATTGTGTATTCAGAGCACAAGTTAGTTTTGTCAGAGTGTTTTCCTGTTAAGTCTGCATTACCTCTCGTGCTGTCCTCCTGACCAGTTCGATTTCTCCCTCTAAAGATGCATCCAAGAGTAGCGCGCCAGGGGGTCGAAACTCACACGGTTCCCAGATTTCCGAGATTTATCCTTCTTCAAATTTGTCTTCTTCCTCCTCACTACACCATCACCTGGCGGTTGAGGAGGGCGAGAAGAATCCGAAAGTGGAGGAGAGTTACCTCCCTTAGAGTTTGAAGTAGCACTATTACTGTCTGTCTGTTTAACAGTTTCCAAGGCACTTGATTGATTGTTCCCACTGTTAACACCACTGTTAATCTTTTGATTTGCCCCTTGTCGATCATACCCTCCATGCAGTAATTTACTAAGGTCTTCATTCTCACTATCCGACTGCTTCCGTCGTATGTGTTTAGGGGTGTTCAGCCTATAACTTCCCTTATCCGAGGCTATGCTCTGGTATTGAGGCAAGCCTACAAGTCCAAAGTGAGTATGTGTTTTGGCCCCATTATTTGAATCCCCAGAAGATGGTTGATTAAATGCTGTTCGTTGTTCCAGGCCTGGATTCCCTCCAGAAGGTAAAGGGCTATGATCAGGTCGATCTCCTGTACCTTTAACGTCTGCATTCTTGTACAGAGCATCCAGATTCTGCTGATACTTCTGCATCGCTGATGACCCCAGTCTGCCCATGTATGTGTTCATGATTGCGTTCTTCGTCGCGTACACTGTACGTCGGTTTGGCTGCTCCTGCCTGGCTGGTGCTCACAGTTGGTTGAGTCATGGGAGTGTTGGTAACTGGGGTCGAAGTAGCTTGAGGCTGAGGTTTGTCTGGGATGGGAGAGTCGAACGTTGATTTGCCAGAATCTGTAGCATCAAGAGAGTTGTCGGACCCATTCCTGGGCGAGTTCTGTTGTGGAGACTGACTGGGGGAAGATGTTGCAGCACCTCTCAAGGCTGGATGAGGAGCAGTTTTGGAGGAAACTGGAGGAGGATGAACGGGCTGCTGCTGAGGAACAGTCTTCGTATCATTCTGTGAAGATTGTGAAGTAGGGACTCTCCCATGGAAGGTGGTGTTTGTTTGTGGTTGGGGAAACCTGGCCAGCACTTTTGGCTTGTTTGAGCTTGGAGAGTTCTGAGAGCTGTCACTTGATGCTGGCGAACTCTGCCCACTGCCTGCCTGCCGTTCCTCCTCTGTAATACTTATAACTGGTTGTTGCTGGATGGGGGCTACCCTCCCAGGTAACACAGATGTGCTGAACGTCGAACCATATGGTCGGGCTGAAAACTTGGCTGCAATATTCGCAACACTGATTCGACCAGGACCAGCTTGTGAAACAGGTTGATTTGAAGTTGATGCAGGCACATTCTGGTTCCCGAGACTTACTGTCACTCACATTTTGATTGTTTGCAGATTTGGACACTGAATTCTCCCTACTTTGAGAATTCTCCCTACTGTTGTTGTTCAGTTCTTTACCCTGATTGGATGGCTTCACTGGGAAGTCCTCCATATTCTTATTCTCACCAGATGGGAATTTGGTGTTGGTAGACTGCACCTGTTTTGGATCCTTCTTCTCAAACCCAGCTTTCTGGTACATATCTTCCTTATCTTTAGGAGCAACCTGGATGTAGGGTTCCACGGCGGCGATGTTGGTGCTGGGTCTGTTCTTGTTCACCATGTTCTTGTTGTCCGTCTGCTGCTGGGACTTCTTCTTCTTGATGCGTTGCTGCAGCTCCTGGATCCGGAAGTCCATCTGCTTCATCTCGTCCTTCTTGTGCTGGAGCAGCTCACGCTGGGCAGACAGCCGATTGTTTTGTTGCTCGTTCACTTTGTTCCTTTGCTGTAAATGAATAAAATTAGTTCCATTAAGTCATCTGAGATATCTTTATCTCTCGAATGTAACATAAGCGGTGAAACTTTCTTAACAAAAAGAACAGGATAATAGAAAAGTTGAGTACAATCTTATACAACCGTTTTTAATCATTCCCCTTGACCATAGGTATACATTGTCCTTTAAAATATAAATAATTTTTTTTATTTATTATAGGAAAGGTTTTCAGAACAAATGCTCAATTATTCAATTCATACAAATATTTTTGTTTTATTTATTAAAGTACACCTACCAAAAGCTCTTTGCGAAGTTTCTCCAGTTCTAGCACTGCAGCTGTTTGCGTGTCCCCATTTATTCCATTGATCTTTCCAGTACGAATGTCCTCCAGTTGTCGGGTCAACTGCTCCACTTTGGCAACAGCCATTGTCAGCTCTTTCTCTTTCTCATTGAACAAAGCTTTCACGGAATCAAGTTCCGAATCTGAAACAGGGCACACAGCTTCAGAAACAAACATCAATGCAGATATAAAAGGAAAATGATGCTTGCACAAAATATAGATATCTTCAAAATAACTTTAAAATATTTCTAAAATAACTTTTAAGGTTTCCTGCACTGTACCAAATCCATATACTACTCAAAAGAAATGAAGGAACATTAACTTAATTTGTCATGGCCCTTAACTTCTTTGGAGTAGTATGTGTTTTGCATTCATGTGAGGTGAGGTAAGATGAGGTGAAATTGGGTTTTACGTTGTGCTTGAGAATATTTCGCTCATATGACAACGTGCATGCGTGTGTATGTGTATGTGCGGCTGCTTGTACTAGCCCAGACTTAAGCTGGTTTTATAGTACTAGCCCACTGAGATACCATGCTGCAGTGAAGCATGAATACTCCACTCAGACTCCGAGCCGACCAGTCCTTAATGTACCCATTAATGCTGAGCGCCAGACAGGGACCAACAAGTACAATATTTTAACGTCTTTTGGTATGACGCGACCGGGGACTGAACCCGCAACCTTCCGCTCTCTGGGCAGACGCTCTAACCACTACACCACGGAGGCTGTCATTCAGTGAGCAAAATGACAGTCATATACTCACTGAGGTTTCCATTTGAGGCCTTGTGTTGTTCCACCTGTCCCCGTAATGCCCGCAACTTCTTCAGCTTCAGCTCCTGTGTCTCTACCTTCTCCCGTAGCCGGCGGAGACGGTCCTGCTCCGCGCTGAGGTGGGAGTGTCGCTGCTCCTGCTGCTTCAGGTACTTGAGTCGCTGCTCCTTAGCTACCAGGACCTGCTGCTGACTCTCGATCTGCTGCTGCTGCCGTGACGCCATCTCCTGCAGCTCCGTCAGCGTCAGGTCCATCCCACCCGGCAGCTGCAACACAAACAACGCTGTTATAGGCACTGTCAGTGAGTGAGTGAGGGAAAATAGGGTCCAATCTAACATTCAAGATTACTGTGATGTTCATGAAAGTTTGCATATGTGTGTTTCTGCAGGTACTGAGGACAGATTTGGTAAAAGACACCATGCTGCAGTTTAGCTAGGACACCCCTTTCACACACAGTATACTGACTAAGAGCAGTCGTCACCTCAATGGTGAGCAGCAGGGTAACAACATATATTTTCTTATAACATAATTGGCAATGACATTCCAAGATTTGAAGCACCAACCAAAGGTGGTCTTCCAGTTTTATTCATACTTAGTATCCATTTTAACCAACCAATCCCCAATGTAGCCTACTGCTATAACCTTGGGTGATCCAGACCTCCAGATGTCAGTCCAGGTCATATTAGGACAGAATGCTAAACATAACTGCTAATCATTTTGAAAACAAACTCTCACATCAGGACCAACTTCAGCTGTATCATTGCTGTATGTTACAAGTAAAACGCCATGACACGCATATCCTTAGAGAACCACAATACTTTCACCCAGCAGATACAGAAAGAGAGGGATGTGACCAGTGTCAAAAGTAACCATGGACATTGCAGTTTACCCACAGTTCCACAGTCACCCGACATCTTTATCAACCAATAATACAACATTCCTGGGTATGACTGCGAACCTAAATCACAATATGGGGGGACAAACACATGACCATCCCCGCATACACACCTTGTAACCGATACTCTCGCCTATGTGGCAAACTCAGATCGCCATGCGACTCTGGACGACAACAAATTTGCTTTACCTGGAGCTGAGCAAGTTCTACGTCACCGGGCTGTATGTTTGGTAATTTTAATAGAACACAAAAATTTCAGCCTCCTTAAAATGTGCAATAGTTTCCATGGTTGCAAAGCCTTTTCCAAACATTTATAGACCAGCGGCAAACATGAGCAGCCATTTTGTTTACTTTGCAATTCCTAAAACACATCTCCCTGCAGTCACTGCCAACATGGATTACAGGTCCCCAGAGATCTCCTCAGAGACACAGAGTTGACATCACAAGTCATGGAGGTATGTAGTGGTCAGGGCCTATGGAGGTAACGCGAGTCGAGGTGGATTATCCAGAGATCTCAGACAGAATTCCCCCACAGAAGTACAATGGTTCATACGTCATGGATGTAAGTCTTTGAATCAATACAGACAAAACGAACATAGAATTTCATTATTAATGCATTCAAACAAAATTGAAAAAGATTTATTTTCAATATATGTGAAAATATTTCATGAAACAAACAGAATAAAGACAAACGAACAGCTATTTCAAGCTTAAACACAAATTACTGGCATCTGTCCTGGAAAGATTCTTCAGTTTATATGCATTATAACTTGAAGTAACCCAAGCTGTAACCAGGAAAACCAGTCATGGTAGCCCTGATACCTTGAGAACCAGTAATAGTAGCCCTGATACTTTGAGAACCAGTAATAGTAGCCCTGATACCTTGAGAACCAGTAATAGTAGGCCTGATACTTTGAGAACCAGTAATAGTAAGCCCCAATACTTTGAGAGGCCTNACCAGTAATAGTAGGCCTGATACCTTGAGAACCAGTAATAGTAGCCCCAATACCTTGAGAACCAGTAATAGTAGGCCTGATACTTTGAGAACCAGTAATAGTAGGCGCAGTAATAGTAGCCCTGATACTTTGAGAACCAGTAATAGTAGCCCTGATACTTTGAGAACCAGTAATAGTAGCCCCTGATACTTTGAGAACCAGTAATAGTAGCCCTGATACTTTGAGAACCAGTAATAGTAGGCCTGATCCTTTGAGAACCAGTAACAGAAGACTTAATAGCTTTAGAACAAGTAATACCTTAAGAACCAGTAATAGTAGGCCTGATACCTTTAGAACAAGTAATAGTAGCCTGATACCTGAGCACCAGTTAAAGTAGTCTCAATAGCTGGAGAAGCTTCTAATGAGTGACTTTAGCTATTTGTGTCTGCTATGACCTCCAAGTCGGTGTGTCCTTTCTTCCCACCTTAATAATCTCAAGGTCTTAAAGTATTTGTGGAATGAGGAACCCATCACCTCCAACTGACCACCAGGACACACAAGAAACAAGAGTGTGAATCAGCCATCTTGTTGACTTGCCGCCCTGACCCCCTTATCACACACAGAGAGCAGACGTACATGCACTGGACATCCTCAGTCAAGATGACGTCTGCTTGTTTTGATCAGTTTCGTTTCCCTGTCAATCCTCAACTACAAGACCACACAGGAACAGGTCACACCTTTCACGACATGGTTGAACTGACAGTACATTAGCTTGAAAAATACTTTACAATGAATATCCTCATTAAATCTCCCAGTCTCTCCAATTATCAAACTAGTAGATTACATTACACTGAAATTCTGCATAACATTTTCATCCAATTTTCTAGTATATGAGATGAATTAAAAAACAGAAAGTTGTTCTAATGTATATATCAAAAATATTTTGTAATTCCTGTTTGATATTCATATTTTTGACAATATTTGAAACCGACAAAATCACAAAAAAAATATTGAACAATATTTGAAAAACAACAACCAGATAATATTACCACTGAGTTTATGAAAGTACCATACATTTTTCCAGTAGTGCTTTTCTCAAAAACCTGCACTGTAAACGTTATTTGGTTGGTAGATATATACACATCCACAAAGCCACCATCGTTCCTCTCCTCGCCCTGTAGACAAGGAGCATCAGCCCCTGCAAACAGCTAATGAAACACATTGTCCCCGCTAATGGATGATGCCAAATGAGGCATATTGATTGTACAACATTGTGGCCATGTAGATAGTGGTTTATCTATTGTGGAGTCTCGGCACTGACATAATGCCTATTGATTTCGACTTTGTGCTACATAAGACAATGCTTCATTGTGTTTCAAAATGGCAGCTGTCTACTTGAGAAGGGATGGTGAAAGTTGTCCTTCGTGAGGTCAGCTTACACCTGAATTAATCTTTACACAAACATGCTTCATCTAAAACAACCCTTTCGCAAATGTTCAAGATGGTTCATAAATAAAAACTATAAAGTTTGTCAATCCGTAATAAAGTTTTTAAAAAGTTCCTACCTTGCCTCCAGCTGCAGATTACAGATCAATAACACAAAGTAATGATGTAGCTGTATGTCTTGTTTCATTATTGTAGACGACATTTGATGAAGACAACATGGCTTGAGTCATCTAATGTCATTCGGAAGTTTAGTTTCAACTTTTTGTGCAATTTCACAATGGCGACATCCGTGCAGATTGACAACAGCTATAACAACACGCAAATAGAAACTTGCCATTTTCATCAGCTCAGGACTGACTGACTGACTGACTGAGTTTGGTTTTACGCAGCTTTTAGCAATATTCCAGCAACATCACGCGGGGGACACCAGAAATGGGCTTCACACATTGTGCCCATGTGGGGATTCGAACCCGGGTCTTCGGCGTGACGAGCCAACGCTTTAACCATTAGGCTACCCCACCGCCCCCATCAGCTCAGGAAGTGGCAATCAGAGTCAGTGTGATACAGAGACAAAACACTTCCAAATGTTTACTGTAGATAGTAATTAGTAAAATAAAATGCCATGATAAAAGCCTACAGAAGTAGATAATAATTTAATGAACTGGAAAAAGAAATAAAATTTATCTCCTCTCTACCATAAACTTTAACCCTAAATATGACTCTGACATATGTCTTGTCCTGAGTGAGAACCGGAGTGTTGAATGTGAATCGAGGGTACAAGGTCAAGCGTGACTCATCCACCCTGAATGCCAGTACATATATAATGGCGCCATACCGCACATCGGCAACATGTCCATTGTGGTGTGGCTGAATACCCTACCAGTAGACATCTCCAGCTAACATACACCCAGTGTTTGTAGCCTATACACCAGGGTAAGCAGGCCTCCTGTAATGTGTGATCGTTGTTCGCAGCTACGGCCTGAACAATATCCGGAGTGGTCGTAAACGGTCAACATCTTTTGTTGATGTAGGGTATGTCCAGTAGTATATTTGTATACCCAGTTCCCAGTGGCGATCTTCACAGTGGAGGGATCAGTTAAGCTAATGATGATACGAGGAGGAGGGGCAGGGGGCTTTAACGTTTGTTTTGTACACAGTACGGTTGTGAGATAGGTAATCCAGGTAAATATCTGTAGTATCTACCTCCTCAGTTGCTGTTCGTGGGAATAGCATCCTTGGTATCATGCTTTCGACCGGGTCATTATTTGTTAGAATATCTACTACTCAATACTGATAGCGATACTGAGATATTTCATACTGTGACATAATGACAACTTATCAAACAATGTGTTCATGTTTAATGATGACTGACTGACTGACTGAGTTTGGTTTTACGCCGCTTTTAGCAATATTCCAGCAACATCACGGCAGGGGACACCAGAAATGGGCTTCACACATTGTACCCATGAGGGGATTCGAACCCGGGTGTTTGGCGTAACAAGCCAACGCTTTAACCATTAGGCTACCCCACCGTCCCCGTTTAATGATGAAATATAATGGCATATGCTTCAGTTCTAAGGCAATATCAAATACTGTTTGCATGACAACATATCTGAGCACTCAGTTATTTCCAGATCTCACATGGATATTCCCTATCAAAAACTATTTCAAAACTATACTGAAAAGAGTGAGTGAGTGAGCTGGTTTTAAGCCGCTTTTAGCAATATTCCAGCAATATCACAGCAGGGGACACCAGAAATGTGCTTCACACATTGTACCCATGTGGGGAATCGAACCCAGGTCTTCGGTGTGACGAAGCAAATGCTTTAACCACTAGGCTACCCCACCACCCCTATACTAAAAAGAACTTAAGAGACTATTTTAAAACAAATTACAGGGTTCAACATTAATTTTGATATTATTAATTGTCAGTTTGCAGTTTCATGGAATAATTGGAATATCTTTTTAAAAGATTCAGCAGTATTTAACA